CGCCACCATACACACTAGATTGTAATGGGCTTTTATGTTTCCTTTTTTTATTTGCTGGAGCTTTTGATCTGTTCACACATTGGTTCAACATTTTGTTAATTACCTTATTTGGCATCCTCATTTTTATCCTCATTTTTTTGTTGCTACAATCACTTTGAAGTGATTCTGTTGCTGATGCAGCTATTGTCAATGTACTTTTTAGTGCTTTTAATCTACAGCGGATTTCATAGATATCTTTTTGCTGTATTTGGGGAAGAATTTTAAAAGATTAGGCCAGGGAGTTTTTTTCTTCATCTTTCTTCTGCTGTTCCCTTTTCGGTACAAATAAGTTGTGTTTAGTACCTTTTAACCTTGAGATAGTCTGTGGATGATGCATTATCTCTGATTAATAGTTTAACAAATGTTATCTCTTCTGCATAACCTTAGATAGCTTTCCAAGGTTCAATAAGGGGCGAATACTGTTTTTTGAAAAAATTGAAAAGGCATAATTCAAAATTGCCACTAAGAATTTTTTCAACCTAACAACTATCAGTGACAAAGTACAATGTTTACAGGTTAACCTAATTCTCTCGCATCCACCAAACTAGGCAGATATTTTCTCTAAGGTTGCTGTTGTGGGCCTAACAATCCAAAAGTTGGCTAAGAGAATGATTTATTGCTTGCCTGTTATGCTGTCTGCCCTTACAGTATTCATTTCGTTTGCAACCATCTACAAGATCACACAGTTTAATTGCAATACACAGGAGTTGCCACTCTGCTCAAAATTTTGGAGTGCCAACTTTAAAGAAGGGAAAAACGGAAAGGAAAGGGTTTCTTCATTCTTTATCACTTCTTTTTCTTTCCAGTCTCCTTTGATGCTGGATTCCCAGCACTTAGAACATAGTTATATTTCTTATCAGTCTGATTCTCCTTTAATTTTATCTCTGATGTTCCTTCTTGTGAATCTTCTCAAAGAAGAGTGGCCTTCTTAAAAAGTGCCCCTTTTATTGGTAGCATCTCCTAATTGATCATATTTGGGCTGTTGGCAGGCAGTTTTTAGCTACCCAGGATCCAAGTCCAAATCCTTGTGGGGTCATTTGTTTAACAAGAGTCCATCATACTGGAGCTGAAATGGATTGTTCCCTGTCAAGTTGTTGAAAAAATGGTCAAGTCAGCAGATTTAAAAAATAGTGTGTATTTTACTGTCCTCTCCCAATCAGCATTTTTTTGTAGTGACTCTGACATCAGTTTCCTTTTACCTAATATTGGAAATGGTGGCATTTTTTGCTGTACAAAAACTTTTTCTGTGTGAGTATATTAAAATGCTTGAATACCCTCCTTTCTCGGGGGTCGATTCCAGTTGTGGTGATTGGGGAGGAGAGATCCTGCCCTCAGCCCCTACCGTGTGGGGTGCTGCAGGGGTCGGTGCTCTCTCCTCTCCTATTCAACGTCTGTGGAGTCCTTGGGGTTCTCTGAGATTGGTTGTTTTCTTGCAAACGTTTCGTTACCTGGCTAGGTAACATATTCAGTGCTAAGTGCTGAAAATGTTACCTAGCCAGGTAACGAAATGTTTGCAAGAAAACAACCAAGCTCAGAGAAACCCAAGGATTCCACAGTTC